GAAGTGTTTTAAGAATCATGTTTTTATGTGTTAAGATCATGTTTTGTTTATATAGAAGTGTTTAAGAATCATAATTTTTATATATGTGTTAAGAATCATGTTTTTATATAGAAGTGTTTTAAGAATCATGTTTTTTATATAGAAGTGTTTTAAGAATCATGTTTTTTATGTGTTAAGAATCATGTTTTTGTTTTTATATAGAAGTGTTTTAAGAATCATATTTTTTATATATGTGTTAAGAATCATGTTTTTATATAGAAGTTTTAAGAATCGTGTTTTTTTATATAGAAGTGTTTTAAGAATCACATTTTTTTATATGGAAGTGTTTGAACATTATTTTAGTTTAGATGCCTACCAGAAATTCATCTCGAATGAAGTATTTGGCGCGCACGACTTCACTGACCTCTCCAGGCTCCACGACAGCTGAAGTAAAAGAATTCCAAAGTTCAAAACAGTTCAACAATAACAAAAACAGTGAAACGAACAATGAGCTCTTTGATAATCCTTTAATAGGTTAAGGAATCAAGTAAATCACAGCATTGCTACTTGGTAATAAACTTATCATAAAGATGATACAGCAAAGGTTTAATTTTATACTAGCTAATGATCAATGAAACAAGTAAACTCCTAACTGAATGCATTAAATTAATTTAGTTAAATTTTGGCTTGACAAGGATGCAATAAGAAGAGACAGATGATCACAGAGTACATTTAATTTGACTTAGCCATATCTTTACCAAAATATTTACGTACAAAAAATTTAATCAATTATTGACTTTACACAGTGTATTTTGCACCAAGAATACTAAGTATTGTAACCTATAGTAATAGGTAAATACTTAAAAAAAACACGCATGCAGATAACAATGTTGATATTTAGATTGACAGAAGTGAAACTACTAAAACATCAGAGTCCTTACCTCTATTTTTAAGAAACGTATACATATTGCACACCTTGCACTATTAGGTCACAAAAAATTAGTTTATCCATTACATCCAGTTTCCTTATCTCTAACTGCAAATAAAATCATACTGTAGATATCCACAAAAGTGTCAATAGGAGCTCATCTTTAAAGAAACCATTCACCAATAACACTGGCTATCTCAAGAAACACACACACATAAAATGAAGTCATACTTTGGTTTAACATATCAACAAAGGCAGATGATTTTCATTAAATCTAATTCAAAATAAAATCATTAGAAACAGAAAGAAAAAATTGATCTTCATCTCCACAGAAGACACTTACCATCAAGAGTCTGATATTACACAAAAACAGAAGACACTTACCATCAACAGGAGTCTGATATTACACAAAAACAGAAGACACTTACCATCAAGAGGAGTCTGATATTGCATAAACACGGAAGACACTTACCAGCAATAGGAGTCTGATATTGCACAAACACAGAAGACACTTACCATTAAGATTAGTCTGATATTGCACAAACATAGAAGACACCATCAAGAGAAGTCTGATATTGCATAACACGGAAGACACCATCAAGAGGAGTCTGATATTGCATAAACATAGAACACACCATCAAGAGGAGTCTGATATTGCACAAACATAGAAGACACCATCAAGAGGAGTCTGATATTGCACAAACATAGAAGACACCATCAAGAGGAGTCTGATATTGCATAAACATAGAACACACAATCAAGAGGAGTCTGATATTGCACAAACATGGAAGACACCATCAAGAGGAGTCTGATATTACACAAACACAGAAGACACTTACCATCAAGATGAGTCTGATATTGCACAAAAACAGAAGACACTTACCATCAAGAGGAGTCTGATATTGCACAAATTCCGAAAAATAGTCTTCCAGTTTCGACTTTCCTGCTTTAATTTTTTCTGCTAGTAAATCTTGTTTGTTCAAGAAGAGTATCACCGATATTGTTCGTAACCATCTGTTAAAGAAAGAGTGATCCCCATTTAACTCCTTCCATACAGGCTCGGTCGAATCGACCAAGTTCGTAACCATTTTGTACTCGTTACAGTTTCCATACTATAACTTTTAATATAGTACGTGTATCTTCACAAACTTTGGCAGACTTTCGGTAAACATTACGAGACCTTTGAACGCAAAAAATTAGATTTTTTAATTAAGTATTTTTAATAAAGGTTTGTCTGTGAATATATTGAGTAGTTTTGTGCACTAGTCTAAGTGCAAAGGAATTTTCATGTTAACATTAAAAATACTTTTATTCACCTGAAACTTTTCAAATTTCATTTGTGTAACTTCTAAGACCTCTTAAATAATTATAAAACGTTATTTGTCAGTAAGGCTTTATTTTTTCCACCCTAACTCTATATACAAAGTTCGACAAAAAAAATTGAAATAAATCTAAATTACCCTTTTTTTCTTTCTAGAATAACTTCAAATTGTAACTTAAAACTACATTTGTTTATCCTAAATAGCTTTAAACTCGTAAAGTATACATCTATTTATACTTAAATTTATCATTTTATTGCCCTTTGAACCATGTCTAAATTAATATTCCCACCATAAAATTTGTAAATCAAGTGGCGAACGTGTTACCCTATCTACTCTTGAGCGTACCTCATGAAATTTTTTTACAATCGTTACTTATTTTACTTAATGTAAGCTATAAAGTTTTTAATTTTTACAGTTTAGTTCCTTGTACAATAATAAAGAACACACGTGAAAAACAAGAAATAAAACACCCGTGTCTTTTTTTTTTTGCTGTCGACTGTCGATGAAACTTAACTCTACTTTTTTATATTAATAGTATTACTGCACAATATAAAATTTTTATTTAATCAAATAATGCACCAAAGAAAAACGAATAATAACATGCAGAAAGCAGACAATCTCACATAGCTATCATAATCTTTCTGGCTTTCTACCTGCGAAAAGACCCATTAAAAAATCAGCTAAGCTCGTTGATGTGTTTACCATGGAAATAAAGTGAAATAGACAATTCTCTATAGAGAAAACAGCATAGTATAATACGTCATTTGACTGATTAAACCTTGGTTTTCTATTATTTATAAATAATCAAGTATTAAACATCAGACAGAACTATTGGCAATTTCTGAAAGAGAGGATGTGACAGGTGGGTGTGTCAAAAGGAGTTTGATTTTCTGGTTTATGATCGTAAACAAATAAGATTGAAGGCTATAAAAAATTGTGATTTGTCTGAGGTATGACAACATTATAATGAGTAATTCACATTAAACTTCACACTTCTTGGAAGGGTTGTAAATAAACTAAAGAAGAGGGGATACCTAGAGAGTAAATGTCACAATTCTCACACTTGGGGAAATTGAGGTTTTTTTTTAAGATATTGCCTTATAAAATTAAGAATTTAAACTTAAATAATATTAAAATTGGGATTATTATCTATGTTTTTATGCCAAGTGTATTTATATATCATGATAAGAAAGTAGTTTAATTCAATTTTGAATGTAACTAACTAAAACCTCTTGACGTGCACATTCTGAAATAATCAATCAATCATAAGCCGCTACCTTAACTATACATACAACTGTATCCTTAATACAAAACATAACTTTAACTTAACTATCTTCTGTCTAGATACACAACTATATTGAAATAACAAACAGCCTAAACCTCAAGTCACTTTCCTCAAGTTACACACAACTATATCGAAATAACAATCAGCCTAAACCTCAAGTTACACACAACTATATTGAAATAACAAACAGCCTAAACCTCAAGTTACACACAACTATATTGAAATAACAAACAGCCTAAACCTCAAGTCACTTTCCTCAAGTTATACATAACTATATCCAAATAACAAACAACCTTAACCTCAACTCACTTTCCTCAAGTTATACATAACTATACCAAATAACAAACAGTCTAAACTTCAACTCACTTTCCTCAAGTTATACATAACTATATCCAAATAACAAACAGCCTTAACCTCAACTAACTTTCCTCAAGTTATACATAACTATATCCAAATAACAAACAGCCTTAACCTCAACTAACTTTCCTCAAGTTATACATAACTATATCCAAATAACAAACAGCCTAAACCTCAACTCACTTTCCTCAAGCTATACATAACTATATCCAAATAACAAACAGCCTAAACCTCAACTCACTTTCCTCAAGTTACACGTACCTATATCCAAATAACAAACAGCCTAAACCTCAACTCACTTTCCTCAAGTTATACATAACCATATCCAAATAACAAACAGCCTAAACCTCAAGTCACTTTCCTCAAGTTACACATAACTATATCCAAATAACAAACAGCCTAAACCTCAACTCACTTTCCTCAAGTTATACATAACTATATCCAAATAACAAACAGCCTAAACCTCAAGTTACACATAACTATATCCAAATAACAAACAGCCTTAACCTCAACTCACTTTCCTCAAGTTATACATAACCATATCCAAATAACAAACAGCCTAAACCTCAACTCACTTTCCTCAAGTTATACATAACCATATCCAAATAACAAACAACCTAAACCTCAACTCACTTTCCTCAAATTACACAACTATATCCAAATAACAAACAACCTAAACCTCAACTCACTTTCCTCAAATTACACAACTATATCCAAATAACAAACAGCCTTAACCTCAACTCACTTTCCTCAAGTTATACATAACTATATATCCAAATAACAAACAGCCTAAACCTCAAGTCACTTTCCTCAAGTTATACATAACTATATCCAAATAACAAACAGCCTTAACCTCAACTCACTTTCCTCAAGTTATACATAACCATATCCAAATAACAAACAGCCTAAACCTCAACTCACTTTCCTCAAGTTATACATAACCATATCCAAATAACAAACAGCCTAAACCTCAACTCACTTTCCTCAAGTAACACATAACTATATCCAAATAACAAACAGCCTAAACCTCAACTCACTTTCCTCAAGTTATACATAACCATATCCAAATAACAAACAGCCTAAACCTCAACTCACTTTCCTCAAGTTATACATAACCATATCCAAATAACAAACAGCCTAAACCTCAACTCACTTTCCTCAAGTATGAAGTATATACAAATCAGATTTTTGATAATAAACTACAGTTTGAATATTCTGAGATCATTACAACATTTTGGTGGGTAAGTCTGAATCAGATCTTTGTTAGTAGAATGTACTCTGAGTATTCTAAGATAGTTACAACATTCTGTTGGTAAAAACGAAATCCTCTATTACTGAACCTTAAAGAGTTACTCTCAAAGCCATTAAGTTAATCTAATGTAATTCTATGAATGTTATGAATTTTTTGACACTGGTTTTAAATGTCTGACTTATTACTTGGACGTGTACTGTAAACATTACAATGTACTTTGTAATTATTACATCTTGTTTCTGGATGGAAACAATTGTTACCGTTATATTCTAAACAAGTTTGGCAAACATGAAACAGATTTCTCCATAGAAACATCAAAATCTTTATAAAGTCTGGCTTCAAACCTGTTGTTCCAGATACTCTTAAAGAGTTCTAGAGATTCCTTGAGTCGGTTCTGACTGGCATCTTCCCGTAGCACCATGTTATAGCTACTACTGGCTGTGACGAAGATGATAGCCGTGACATCATTGAAACACTGGATCCATTTCCTACGTTCATCACGTTGTCCACCAACATCAAACATGCTGTAAACACACGAAACAATGATGCTTTAAAACCAAATAAAACCTAAATTAATAATAAATGCAAATTATCAACCTCTCTGTTTCACTAGTTACTATATTTTATCAACATCTCTGTTTCACTATTTACTATATTTTATCAATATCTCTGTTTCACTAGTTACTATATTTTATCAATATCTCTGTTTCACTATTTACTATATTTTATCAACATCTCTGTTTTACTATTTACCATATTTTATCAACATCTCTGTTTCACTATTTACTATATTTTATCAACATCTCTGTTTCACTATTTACTATATTTTATCAACATCTCTGTTTCACTATTTACTATATTTTATCAACATCTCTGTTTCACTATTTAC